ATGTATCTTCCTTGGGTATTCCTCCTCTCAAAAGTGTTACTAGTGTTTTGATCCTATTGGTCGTAAGCATTTTGTCTCTATGGATGTTTACTTTAGTCTGAACCATTCTACCCTACTTCTCCTCAAGGAGAGAGTAGTATAGGAGAGGAGAAGCAGGTCTGTCAAGTTTCTCTTCCTTCTTTTTTGAATCTTGCTTCTTTTCATGTCTTCCTACGTGAGTGTCATAGAAATCAACAAGGTTCTAATGATGTGGAACTACCAAATTCTAAGCAACCAGCATCATCAAACTCCYAGGAGGTAAGTCCAAATTAGTCAAGTACCAATGTTCCTATTGATTCCCCTATTCCCAAGGAGAGAGTAGTATGGGAGAGAAGCATGTCCGTCAAGTTTCTCTTCTTTTTCGGATCTTGCTCCTTTTCATTTCTTTCTATGTGAGTGTCATAGAAATCAGCAATGTTCTAAAGATGAGGAACTACCAAATACTAAGAAACCGACACCGTCAGACTCTCGGGAGGTAAGTCCAAATTAGTCAAGTACCCATGATGCAGGCGCTTATGGCAGACCAATGGCACGCCTGTGCGTGGCAAAAGGCAGCGTACAACGCAGACCCAATAGGGACGTCATGCGGAGCAAAAGCCGGCATGCGACACAGGCCCAACGGCACGGCTGCACGCAGCGACCTTGGATGGCCGCGCAGGCAAGGCCGAACTAATCCTGGTCATTCGCACCCACCTACCTCCCGATGGTCTCAAGTATAAATAGGGGATGACCCCCCCCCCCCAAGGTGAGGATCCAAACTTTCTACTACCTAGAACTCAGTTACTTCCATTGTGACCTCATCTGAGCTGTCTCAACTCAGGCCTCGTCCACCTCTCATCACACCCTCACTAACTTGATTGTCGGAGTCTTTGCCTCGGGTTAGCACCCGGGGCCTTTGATGTTTTCTCTCTCCTTGCAGGACTGACCTACAAGCCCTCGGCCACAGCGGACCTCGGACTCATCAGTCAACCCTTGGCTCAGAAGAAAAATTACCATATTGCCCTCATCCCATCCAAGGCAGCAACACTATTGATTCCCTAGTTCCCATTTCAGTTGTGGATGATCTTGGCATTCCAATTGCTCAAAGAAGTCAAGTCATGCACTACCAAACACCTCATTACCCATTATGTATCCTATGACCATATTTCTCCCTCTTACCATGCATTTTTCTYTGTCGTTGATAATATCCCCATACCCAAAAATGTGGCGGAGGCTTTAACTTGTTTTGAATGGACAGATGCTATGAAAGAGGAGATTAATGTGTTTCATAAGAATCACACTTGGGAGTTGGTGGATCTTCCAAAAGAGAAAGACCTAGTGGGGTGTAGGTGGGTGTTTACAATGAGACACAAGGTGGATGGGGAAGTAGAAAGGTACAAAGCAAGGTTGGTAGCAAAGGGGTACACTTAAGTCTACGGTGTTGATTATGATGAGACATTTGATCCAGTGGCAAAGATGAACTTGATTTGGGTCTTTCTATCATTGGCTACAAATTTTGATTGGGAGTTGCACCAACTTGATGTAAAAAATGCCTTCTTGAATGGTGATCTAGAAGTGGAGGTGTTGTTCAACCTCCAGGTTTCTATGCCAAAGGAAGTGAAAATAAGGTGTACAAGTTGTGAAAGTCTCTCTATGTCTTAAATCAATCTCCCAAACCATGGTTTAGTAGGTTTCATATGGTAGTTCAGCAAGTAGGGTTCAAACAATGACAATTTGACCACATTCTTTGTTAAGATGTGTCAAGAGCAGGTTGAGTGCTAATAGTGTATGTGGATGGCATCATCATACATGGATCTAGAGTTTTGAGATATAAAAATTGAAGGAATTCTTAGCTTCCCAATTTGAGGTGAAAGATTTGGGTCCCCTAAAGTACTTTCTTGGGATTGAAGTTGCTCGCTCAAAAAAGGGTATCTTCATCACTCAAAGGAAGTACATCCGTGATCTTTGACAAGACACCGACAAGCTAGGCGTAAAGCCAGTGGATACCCCTATGGATGTTGAGCATAAATTGGGTGGTTGTAATGGTGAACCTTTGAAAGATGTGAAACAGTTTCAAAGACTAGTGGGAAGATTGCTTTATTTGTTTATGACATGCCCGAATATTACTTATGTTGTTGGGGTTCTAAGCTAGTTCATGCATTCCCCTAAGGTACCACATATGGAGGCTACAAAAAGAATTCTCAGGTATTTAAAGAAGTATCCAAAGACTAGTTTACTATTCAGCAAACATAACCGTCTAAAAGTGGAAGTCTATACAGATGCCGATTGAGCAGGTGTTGTGGATGATAGGAAATCCATGAGTGGGTACTGTACATTTGTGGGTGGAAACCTAATGACATGGAGAAGTAAAAAATAGAATGTAGTTTCAAGGTCGTGTCGAAGCTGAGTATAGAGCTATGGCACATGGGGTGGCTAAAGTACTTTGGTTGAAGAGTTTACTAGGGGAGCTTGGGTTCAACGTTAACAGCCCTATGTCCCTCTATTGTGATAAGGCATCTATAAATATTGTGATAAAGCACATTGAAGTGGGCAAGCACTTCATAAGAGAGAAACTAGAAAAGGGTGAAATCTTACTCCTTATGTCAACTCCAAGGAGCAGCTGGCTGATGTTCTCACAAAAGGACTTTCATACTTGCGGCACAATGAGCTATGTGACAAGTTGGGCATGATAGACATATTTAGCCCAACTTGAGGGGGAATGTTAGATTATTGTTAATCTGTTGTTATTTCTAGTATGTTGTCAGTATGTTTCTAGCATTCTTTTTAGTTGTTTTTTATTAGAGTATGCCACCAGGGTATACATGTAATTCTTCCTTTATGTTTTATCATAAACATTATAATAGAAGGCTAGGCGCTGCCATCCCTGATTTTTGGCTCCCAAATATTTCTTCTTCTCCTCTCCTTCTCTTTTCCTATTCTCACTTTCAGGAAGAAAACACATATCAAGGAATGGAACACAAACCCAATGTGAAAACAATCTCAAGATTCARGTCCATATAAAAAACAAGGGGTGGGAAGGGATTAAATGTTCTGGGCTGTGTTGTAATTTTGTTTTTTTATGTTTTGACCTGGGAGGGTTAAGAGAGTTTGCCTTTCCTCTTTGCTTTCCTTTGTACTTTTCTCTTAATTTTGGTTTTATTAGTGATCAAAAAAATCAAGTTCATATCAAAGAATGGAATACCATGATTTCTCACCACTGTAACTCAGAAACTTGCTTATCCATTGTAGAATTGTTGATTCATTTGGTCGTTCTTATATTTTTTTTTTTTTCTAGAGTACCAGTTTATAGTCCCTATCCCCATGAAACCTTGTTCCTTTTTTCTTCTTTTTTCCAGAATTAAGAAAGCTCAAATTTCTTGTTTGGTTTTCCATTTGTGATTTGTTGGGAGTTATCAAAGGAGAGGTATATGAGAATTTTTTTAAGGTTTGTGCAATGGAAAATTTGTGGCTAATATTGATCCCTTTTAGTAGACTTGTTGGCGGTGCATCCTGAATTTGGATACATGAATATGGCTATTCTTGGTGATGATTGTGATCAACTTCGTCATTGATTATGTTTCCTTTTCTGTTGTATTTCTCATGTTGAAGTCTTTCTTTTGTTCAGGCCTTCTCAGCAATCTCTTGGTTTTTTTATTGGTTCAACATTTTCCTCTTGTTATCTCTTCTTTTTTCCTCTAATGAAGTTTTCTTTGTCTACTTTATCTTGTTGAAGAAAGTTTTTATTTGTGGGTTCCTTGTTTTGGGGTGGGGAGATGTGGATGAGTGGTTTCAACCTGTTTCTAATTTTGAATGTGGGAAAATATGTTATGGAGCCTTCATTCACTCTTGGTAGATGGTTGATGGATTTGGACTAGGTTGAATTCTTAGCGAGTGCAACTGGAGCCTCATTGTTGAAGGGTTTCCAACTTGGGTGTGGGTCTAGAGGTGGAAATGCTATTCTCTCTATCATGAGTTATCGTTTCCATGATATCCTTGGAAATTCAGGTTTCATGCCTTTGCTTGAGCTCGTATTGTGGGTTAACTACTACCTTGTGGAAGGGTTTCCTATATTACGGACCTGAGCAGACATCTGATCATGAAATGTGATATCTTGCTCAAAGGATCATGAACTGTAGCTAAAAGAGTGGTCTTAGTGTAGATGACTCCATACTGATAAAAAAATGCAGCTGATCCATAGCCAAGATTTGTTATCGTTATTGGTGGGAATTTTACAAGGTTGTGGTCCATAGATATCAATCAATATCAACAAAGTGCTACAAATAGAGCCAATAGACCTTAGAAAAGAAAAAGAATAGATAGCCGTATAATTGTGGTTCACTAGAACTCTAAGGTTGMATTTTCTTTGATAGACCACAGGAGAAAAATAGAAAGTTGAGGATTGTTGCTATTTTGTGAAATTCCTTAAGAACTTCCCTAAACTTTCTTTGTCTATCTTATTTTTATATCACACCTAACATAGCTTAAATGAACACAATTACTAGTATGGATTTTAATAGCAGTAGGGTCTTGCCAAAAGTAGTTCTCTTACTCTTAAATGTGTAATTGACTTGGGATCGGAAGTAACCATGAGAGCTAACTGGGACTTGCATTTTGGATGGTTTTGATTGTTCAAGAGAGTTAATCACCTGGTTGAACCATTCAATCTGTCATCGAGGGCGCTTTTCAGGTTGAATTAGATTTGTCCAAGCTRAACTGTTGGTCAGATAACTTTTATGGTTTGATTAATTTTCAATTAATTATTTTCTAAACGTAACTGATTTTTCAATTAATCAAAAATAGAGCTATAATTAAACCGCTCACTATTTAGACATTTTTTGCTAAAAATAACTGATTTTGCAAATTGAGCAAACTATATCATTCGTTTTGCAAAATGTCTTATTTGATATTCTTTCTTGTTTGCTATCACATTTGATTGCATATTGGATATTTGCTTATGATTTTGGTTCATGTTTGTTTAGCAGCAGTAAGAGATCAATAAACCAATGTCCAAGTTCATCTTCATGCGATTTAGGGAGAAGAAGAATGGGTTTGTGTGACCCAAATGTTTTGTATTGAATGGAGAATGAAATATGTAGTAAGGAGTTTATTGGAATTGAAACTAGGTTATGACACTATGTTTTAGTTGTAAATGATGTTTTAAAGAGATTACTTATTTTATTTTAGATCAATTGATGGTGGTGAGCTTTTGTTTTAATGTTTAGTTTCGATTTGGATGGTTGAAGGAAAAACAAGTTATTTTGATAGTTGGAATATGGTTKGACTTGCATGTTATTTTGATGGTTGGAAACTTGGAATACGCTAATATAGTTGGTCTTACAATTCTAATAGCTGAAAATTTGAATGAAACATGTGAGTTGTATGCATTTTTAGCGTAGTTAGTGGACTTTTATGGACCAACCGAGGGCTGGCTCGTTGGTGTGTTAGCTGGTTTGTTCCAGCATTAATGCAGAATTGAATCCCGCAACGGGAAAAAGGGGTAAGGGGGAAGTTATTAATGGTGTATAGCACCAAATACCAAAAAAAAAAAAGTGGACTTTTATGGACAATCAGATTGTTGCTAGAAAAAATGCTATGAATAAGATTTTAGCCGGCAGCTAAATGTCTAAATTTGCCACTAAATATTACATGCCAAAAAAAAGGTGCGCTGCAAGTTGGGCCAGGCTTGCCTGAATCAAGCCTAAAAAAGTAGGGTTGAGTTGGATTAGGTTGAAGTTCAGGTTAAGGTTAGGGTTGAAAAGCATGAATCTGACTTGTCTTTGGGTTGGGTTAGGGACTTAAGGGTTGACGAYTTAAACCGGCCCAACCCAACCTAACCTTAACCCAACTTAATTTCATATTTGCATGTAGGAATATCATATAAATATGAATTTCATATTCACTATTCATGCATTTATGTATTTGCAACTATGCATTCATAAATGTGTGTGTATGTGTGTTGTCTATATATTATATATATAGTTATACATTTATATATATAAATATATAAGTATATGTTAAAAATTTTAAGTTTAAAGACAATCTATATATACTAAAACACAACAGTGAAGAAATTTTCTCYTTTTTTTGAATTTTCTATTTCTTTATTCCATGTCATTTTTTAAACAACCAATAAGATGTTCTCCTTCCCCATAAAAATTACCTAAAATATATCTCTATCTCTCTCTCTTGCTCCCACAAGTTTCCAATAACCTAAATAATGCCCACTCCTAAAATTTCTTTTAAACTACCTTCCCCACTATCCCTCACTTTCTCCTAAATTATATCCAATTTAATAGAGATTTCTCTCCTAAATTATCTCTAATCCTATTTATCATTTCTCCCACTTTTTATCTATATCTATCTAAAGAAAGTTTGAATTAAAAATTTAAAAATTATTTAATATTCTCACRAAATTATATAATAACTTTAAAATATTTATTGAAAACACAAAAATAGCTTCTTTCTCTCTCTCTCTCTCCCACACATTCCCAATAACCTAAATAATATACTCTCCTAAACTACCTCCCCCACTATCCCTCACTTTCTCCTAAATTATCTCTAATTTAATAGAGATTTTTATCCTAAATTATCTCTAATCCTATTTATCCTCTCCCCCCCACTTTTTATCTATATCTATCTAAAGAAATTTTGAATTAAAAAAACTAAAAATTATTTAATATTCTCACAACGTAAAAATAGTTATAATAGATTTAA